TTTTTTTTTTTTTTTTTTTTTTTTTTTTTTTGAGGCAGAGTCTTGCTCTGTTGCTCAGGCTGGAGTGCAGTGGCATGATCTTGGCTCACTGCAACTTCTGCCTCCTGGGTTCAAGCAATTCTTCTGCCTCAGCCTCCTGGGACTACAGGCATGCACCACCAAGCTCAGCTAATTTTTGTATTTTTAGTAGAGTCAGGCTTTTATCATATTGGCCAGGCTGGTCTTGAACTCCTGACCTCAAGTAATCCACCCGCCTTGGCCTCCCAAAGTGCTAGGGTTACAGGTATGAACCATCATGCCCAGCCTTAAATTTTTAAAAAAAATTTTAATTTTTTTATAGAGATGAGGTCTCTCTGTGTTACCCAGGCTGGTCTTGAACTCCTGGCTCAAACAACCCTCCTGCCACTCTGCCTCCCAAAGGCCTGGGATTACAGGCATGAGCCAGCATTTCTGGTCCCATAACGAATATGATATTCTTTTCCAGTTGAATGCATTAGCTGTGCTAATGGATAAATCTCAGATTCTCCATGGTTTAACACAATGGAAGTTTGTGTCTTGCTCAAGTCTCGTCCTGTGTGGAAGCTCCTTGATGTGGGCCTCTCTGCTGCAGGAGGATGTGTGCATATTTTTATGCGGTTGTGTAACTGTTGGGGCTATGCAATCAGAAAAGTTTGGGGACTAGTATTGAAGGAACTGACACATTTGGAGCTGTCAGGCCACAGTTTGATTCTTTTCCCTGCCACAAATAACATAAACTTTGTACTATACCTATTGACTGAGACGAGGCCCAAATAGCACTTTGTTTGGGGCCATCCTGACTGCTCCTGGCTACCAGATCCAGGTTGGAATCTGCAGTAGTCCTATGTCCTGAGTCCCCAGGACCCCGGCTCCATGGTATTGGGATGGACAATGAGAGGTCTCAGCAGCTTTAGCTACTCAACCTCCACAGTGCCCAACAGACTGTCCCTTGGAGTGACCAACTCTTTCCGGTTCTTCTAGGTCTTACCCAGTTTTAGCACTTAAAGCTCCATGTCCCCCTAAACTCGTCAGTCCCAGGCAAACCAAGATAGCTTTCATGGGAAGCTTCAATATCAAAGGAGCGTGGGATTATTGCACAAAGAGGGTTCTTGTTAGGGAATAAGTAGACACAGCCTGTTTTCCCTCAATGTGGACATGCAGGAGAGGGGACAGTGGTCATAATCAACTATACCCCCTGTTCTCACAGGAAGTGAAGATTGACAGCTGCTGCAGGCTGTTTGCTGTCCCATTTGGGAAATTTTCCTGAGGATCCTCTGTAACAAGAGGATAGAATATATCTGCTTTCATGACTTAAAAGAGGTTATAAATTATTTTCATGTTGGTTTTCATGTCAGTGAAGCTGTGATTAGCCACTGACAGGATTATCAAGAAGTAATTCTCAGAGTTTGGTCCCCTTGAGTTAAACATGCCTGCTGACAGCTTACTGAGGACGTGTTGTCGTGGGACATCATCCAGGCCTGGAGGGATGCAGAATCAGGCAGAAGGATGTGGTCACATGGCAGAGGGGCTGGAGGAGGTAACAATGAGCAGGCAGAATGGGATTCCAGGTATTTCAAGGCCAAGCAATACTTGGTGCTTTCACCAGGGCAGGAGCTGGGAATACTGTCAAAAACAAACAGGGCACCCGACTGGCAGTCAGATAATTATTTTCAATCTCTGAAAGATGATAGCAAGAAATGGGCAAAGTCTCATTTCCGAGGGACTAAGGCTTGAGGCAGGTCAGCAAAAGAGGGACCAGGGTGAAAGTGTGGTGAGCACAGCTGGGACGTGAGGACGGGGTGAGCTCAGCAGTGACCAACCACTTGTAGGGGACAAAGGAACCTATTTGTTGAGAAAGAAAAGTGCAGAGAGCTGCTCCCATACTCCAGCTGTTGCCATCCTGTGAGCACAAATGCAGTTGCAATCACATCTTTGCCTAAATCTCAATGGCTTCCAGCCACCTAGTGCTCACCCAGGATCCCAGCATCTCCCTTCCCCAGCTTCCCAATTCCTTCTAGGAATACAGGGGATATGCCCAGGGACACAATCCCTCCTGGCAAGCAGTTGAAGGAAGGGGCTATGCCACTCCTTTGCTCCTGAGTCCTCTGTGAGTATGGTACCCTTCCTGGGTTCTGGAGTGCCTTCCACAACTGCCAGGAGCTGCTCTGGGGTTTGCGGCAGAGGGAGATTAAGGGTGTGACTTTCCCCGACTCTGTCTCTTCTGTCATTTGAGGCACGGCACTGCTTGTGTCTGGAATCTCACCAAGGTTTTCATGAGGAAGATCCATCAGTTTCTGTTCTGGTCTCTGGTTTCCCATTAGGTGTGAAACTAGTTCCCTAGCTTGTGGGGGCAGAGGGGGGAACCCCAAAACATTCCCTTTACAACTTCTAGAAACTTGTAGTTATAGTTTGTTAGAGGGAATAAAACATCCCTTTTATTTCCTTTCTCCTTACTCAAAGGCCTTCTTCCTCTTTCAGTTAAGAGACACAAAAGCACACATGCCTATCAGCTTATGTGGACAGACACCCAAAGAGCTTCTGCCCTTTGTGGTTTGGACTTAGGATATTCTTATACAATATTATCTCTTTGTCCCTAGATGCCAAACCAAGGCCACTAGTTCACTGAAAAGAAAAACTTCTAAATAATTAGACTTTTATGAAGGCTAACTTGGACTATTTTTGAAGGTGCTTTTAAAAAAAATCTCAAGACTGGGTGCAGGGGCTTATGCCGATAATCTCAGCACTTTGGGGGACCATGGTGGGTGGATCACCTGAGGTTGGGAGTTCGAGATCAGCCTGACCAACAAGGAGAAACCCTGTCTCTACTAAAAATACAAAAGTAGCCAGGTGTGGTGGTGCATGCTTGTAATTCCAGCTACACGGAAGGCTGAGGCAAGAGAATCGCTTGAACCCAGGAGGTGGAGATTGCGGTGAGTTGAGATCAAGCCATTGCACTCCAGCCTGGGCAACAAGAGCAAAACTCCATTTCAATAAATAAAAATAAATAAATAAATAAATAAAATAATAAATCTCATCACACCTAATTTTGAATTAAAATATGATACAGAAAAACTTGATGCTTACATTTGGAATAATTTAAGCTGTATTACAAAACAATAAACGATGGGACAATTGTGTTATGTTTCAAACAAAGTGCGTATAAAATTTCAGTGAGTGTGGAAGGACTAGAGCCTTCCTCTGTTACTACTCCATTTTACCTCCTGGGAAACAGGTCTATGGATTTAGCCAAGGAAAAAGAAACGTGGGAACGCTATTTATTCTTTACATAGCTGTAATATAAAGTACAAAGGTTATAAAGTATCTTTTCACTTAACCTATCATCGCCACTTAAAAAGATATTAATGAGAAGACAACCATCAGAAGCAAAATCATGCCAAGAATGAGAAGCAGCAGGAAGAAAAACTTTGGTTACTTCTCTGAGTTCTAGAAAGTTGTTAGGGTATCAGTGTTAGACTTCAGATAAGACATTCCTTGGGTCACTAGTGGTCTTTTGGATAGTAATGACAACAGTCAGAAAAGGAAGGAGAAAGCATTTTTGCATTTACAGTATCCATTTCCAATGTTTTAGGGGACTGGTGGTCCACTTGCCTGGCCCTTAGAGATGTGTGTGGGTAACCTCACTGTTGTCGTTGCTGGTGGGGTTAAAATTTTCCATATGTGCTTCAGGACTCTACCTCAGCCATGTCTTTCTATGAGCAGTGAGTTTGTTAATTACGCATGTTTCTTACCCAGCTTTAAAAGATGATTGAGTTATTATTGGGGAGTTTCTTCCCATGTAGTTGAGGGATAAGCTGATAAGGTTGAGCTGACCTAGCCACAATTTTCTGTGGGATTATGAAGAATGAGGGAGGAATTATGCTTTGTAATTATGCTTTCTTTTTTAAATTCAGAAAATAAATCACTTATGATGACCCAGGCTAAATGACCTCGGTCTTCAACAACCAGCATCATCTATTTCTAGGTCAATTGCCTTGTAATATTAAGTATTCCAGCTTTGAGGCTTACTGAAGGAAAGATATGGGGTCATTTATAATCCGGTAGACTATGACCTTCTACCAGGATCTACTCAAGACCTCATCACACATTACATTCAACTTCTTTCTGGTGGTGAAATTATCAGCAAAGAGCTCAGCCAACCTAACCAAGATCGCTTGGAGGTATACCTTACGAAGGAGAATAAATGTAATTCATCTTTTTCCCCTTTGTTATATGCAGATGAATTAATTTATAGTTCCCAGAGAACTATTCACTTTTGCTTAAATTAGTGTCAGATTTTCCATCCAAGTCTTCTATAAACAGAGGCAATAGGACTTGACATTAGGACCGGGCTTTGGAATCCGGAGATGGACACTGTCTATCTTTGATTCTCTGCAATATATGTCGGTCTGGGCTCTCAGGCCTTAGTTTATTTCTTCATAAAATGGGAATGAAATCTGCTCATTCATTCACTTCAGGAGATTTTAAGGGAATTATTTAAAGAGTGTTTTTTAATGTTCTGGGTAACTCAAGTGGAAGGCAGTGGATGTGAGGGAATTTTTAAGACGAGAAATCTCTTGAATATGAATTGAGTAATCTCTTAGGTTCTTCAGATAAGACATGGAGTGATCTTTAGACTCAGGAGGACTGTCTTTTGGGAAAGTGCTATGGCTCACTTCTACACTGGCAACTTATATGTAGGAAAATGATTCTTGGCTCTGCTCTGAGGTTTAAACAATGTTCAACCTTGAAAGATTGGTTTTAAATGTAAGGGTCATTTCAACTCTTTCGTAAGTTGTTATATTACTTTTGTTAAACTAGGCTGAACATTTACCTCTAGATGAAAAAAGTCAATGCTTTAGTGTATAGTTTTCTCATAAAATAACCTATGCCTTTATTATTTTTTTTTGCAGACAAAACTGTGTGGAGTTTTATCCTATATTCATAATTACGTTGTGGATGACTGGATGGTATTTCAACCAAGGTAATGTTAAAATACAGTCAACTGTGTTCTAATGATGACTATGGTGCTTAAACAATTAAGGAGCAGATATTCGGCCAGGCATGGTGGCTTGCACCTGTAATCCCAGAACTTTGGGAGGCCCAGGTGGGTGGATCACCTGAGGTCGGGAGTTTGAGACCAGCCTGGTCAATGTGGTGAAACCCCATCTCTACCAAAAATACAAAAGTTAGCCAGGCGTGGTGGCATGCACCTGTAGTCCCAGCTACTCAGGAGGCTGAGGCAGGAGAATCCCTTGAACCTGAAGGCTGAGGTTGCAGTGAGCTGAGATCATGCCGTGCACTGCAGCCTGGGTGACAAAGACTCTGTCTCAAAAAAAACAAACAAACAAAAAAAGGAGCAGATATGCAACTATATAGCTACCAAACCTGGAGACTAAACAAAATAAGCAATGTGTGCATCTGAGTGCTATGTTGCAGATATATGAACTTTGGCTTTATTCTGATTTAATTCAATAGTGAAAAAAGTATTGAGACAAACTATATGCTAGGTACTCAAGGATGAAAACAACATGAGCTTTGTCTTCAAACCTAATAATCTATAGTTGACTCTTGAACAATGCAGAGGTTGGGGTGCTGACCCCTACACACAGTAGAAAATCTGCATGTAACTTTTGACTCCCCAGAAACTGAACTATTAATATCCTATTGGCCAGGAAGCCTTACTGAGCAGTCTGCTAATACACATTTTGCATGTTTTATGTATTATTTACTGTATTCTTGCAATAAAGCTAGAGAAAAGAAAATGTTATTAAAATCATAAGGAAGAGCAAATATATTTACTATTTATTAAGTGGAACTGGACCATCATAAAGGCCTTCATCCTCATTTTCATGTTAAGTAAGCTGAGGAAGAGGAAGAAGACGGGTTTTGCTGTCTCAAGGGTGGCAGAGTCAGAAAAGGTGAAAGAGGTGGAAGGGAAGACAGGATTGGCAGGTGCAGTAGGTATAAATTTATAGAAATATCATTTCTGACATTTTTGCTTTTTTCCTTAAAAATGTTTCCATACAGTACCAATCCTTCTTCCACTGTTGCCTTTAGTCTCAGTGCCCATGTCATACAAGAAATAAACAAGCAGTCTTGAATCATCAGAACCCTTCTGCCAGATTGTCTAATGTCACTTTGTTTTCTGGTACTGCCTCTTCTGTTTTCTTCCTTATCATCTGGCAGTGGTTCAGAGCACTTGTCTCCACCAAGTCATCTTCTGTTAATTCATCTGGTGTGGTGTCTATTAGCTCTTGAATTTCTCAAAGATTCATATCTTAAAACCCTTTATCCCCCACCTTTTTTGCCATAGGCACTATCTCTTTCATGATTTCCTTGATTGGTTCTGTTGTAAATCCTGTGAATGCCATGTACAATTTCTGTACACAGTGTTCTCCAATAGGAATTTATTGTTTCAGGCTAGATGGTTCCTATAACAACCTTCCTATAACAATGCTGGCATCTTCAATGGTGTAATCCTTGAAGACATTCATAATGCTCTACCAGCTTCCTATAACAATGCTGGCATCTTCAATGGTGTAATCCTTGAAGACATTCATAATGCTCTATCAGGTTCTCTTCCATAACATTGATGATCCTTTCCATAGCATACCTTGTGCAATGAACCTTAAAGGTCCTGATAACCCCTGATCTAGAGGCTGAATTAAAGATGTTGTGTTTGGGGTAAGTAGACAACTTTTATGCCTTTAGCATTGAACTTACAGGGTTCTGAGTGGTCAGGGACGTTGTCCAATATCAAAAGAATATTATTATATCAAGACTCTTCAGGGGCAAAGCGTTGTTGGAACCAATCCAGAAAAAGGGTTTTTGTTGTCCAAGCTTTTTTTTTTTTTTTTTTTTTTTTTTTTTTTTGTATTACCAAATGACTGGAAGATGCTCAGGGGGTTAACAACTTTACAGATAAGGGCAGTCCTGATTATAAACCTGACTGCATTTACACAAAACAGTAGAGTTAGCCTACCTTCCTGCCTTAAATCCTGGAGATTGCTTCTCTTCTTTACTAATAAATATCCTGTGTGACTTTATTTTTCCAGGACAGGGCACTTTTGTCTGCATTAAAAACCTGTTCAGGCAGATATACTTTCTCCTCAATGATTTTCTTAATGGTGCCTGGGAACTCGTGTATTGCTTCTTTGTTGGTAGAAGCTGCTTCTCCTGTTATCTTGATATAACAAGCCGAACTTCTCTCTAAAATTATCAAACCATCCTTTGCTGGCATTAAATTCTTCAGCTTCAGATCCTTCATCTTCCTTTTCCTTTAAGTTGTCACATAAGGATTTTGCTTTTTATTGAATCCTATTAGAATCTATAAGTACGCATTTCTTATAGCAATCCTGCCCCCACATAAAAGCTGCATTTTCAATATGAGATAAAAAGATATTTTGAAAAAAGTGCAAGGTTTTTGCCTTTTTTAAAAACACTGGTTTTTGCACTGAATTCATTTATCTTGCAATCTTGCAATGGTGGTCAACCACAACTCACACCTGCAGACCTCAATCTATGACACATATTTAGCCATTCAGTTTTTTCTTGTAATGTCATGACTTTTCTCTGCTTTTTGGGGGCACTTTCAGCACCACTAGTAGCAATTTGTATGGGTCTTATGGCATTATTCAAGGCTTATGGTATTGCACTAAACATCGTGAAAAATAGGCAAAAATGCTGAGAGACCACTTTTTACTGCAATATGCAGTTTGCTGGAGGGAAGAACTGCTCAGGTGGAGATGTTAGCCTTATCTTTTAAGCAGATATGTGCAACACTTGAGCTCACTGCAATAGCAAAGGAGGTGGCTACAAAATAATTACAGTAATACGGTATTACTGTAGTTAATTTTATGCAGTTATGATTTAATACTGCATTTTTACATTTGCTTACATTTCTCTCAACTACAAATGGCACCATGTGTTATGGTCTGTGTGTGCTTTGATAAATTTCAACTTTTTATAAGATATATATATATGTATATAGGCTTTCTGCTGAAGCTTTTTAGAAATTTGTATATATTTTATGATAGTAAATGATAAAATAGATCAGTATCTACATCTATTTTATGTATTTGTGACATACCTTTTTTCTAATTTTTCAGTATTTCTAGGCTATGTGGTTCATTTGTGAGTTTTGTGAAATTATCACAAATCTCCAAAATGTTTTCCAATATATTTATGTATTTATTTTTGTAAACCTACCTCCTGCACAATCCAATATATTTATGAATTGTATAATGTATAAATGTATATGTTTATAATGTATAAATGGACCTGTGCAGTTCAAACCCATGTTGTTCAAGGGTCACCTGTAATTCTAATTAATTGAACAACAGGACACAGAGTGAGCAATTTACATTAATACTTACAGCTGGCCAGACCCAGAGGCTTATACCTGTAATCTCAGCCATTTGGGAGGCTGAGGTGGAGGGATTGCTTGAGGCCAGAAATGCAAGACCAACCTGGGCAACAAAGGAGACCCTGTGTCTACAAAATTTTTTTTTTTTTTAAAACTATCTGGTAACACATGTGGTCCCAGCTGCTTGGGAGGCTGAGGTGGGAGGATCTCTCAAGCCCAAGAGTTTCAGGCTGCAGTGAATCATGATAGCGCCACTGCACTCCAGCATGGGTGACAGAGTGAGACCCTGTCTCAAAACGAAAATAATCATGATTATTATCATAGCTATTATTTATTGAGCGCTTACTATGTGCCAGGTACTGTTTTTAAGTTTTATGCATACATCGCGCCATGTGTAAGATTGACAGGATTTAAAGCCTTCATATGAGCAAGGGTCTATAATTAATTTCTACTTTACAGATAAGGAAGCTGAGGAACAGAGATGTTAGATAATTTGCCCAGCTTGACATTCATCAATGTGGCGAAAATTTCCCTTTCACGTGCAGAGCAGGTCTATAGGCATTTGTGTCAACAACCCATGCACCTTTTCTTAAAGGTCTCCAAGCATGTAGTGAGGTTGCTTGTATGCAGTGACTTGACAAAACCCACTTTCTATTTGGCTGGGGTATCCTTGTTGAGCTGAGGGCTTTCTCCTAACTTGGCTTATGTGTTTAATAGTGAGTCAGATGAGTCCCTGCTACCTTAGTAGGAGAAATTCAATCCCCTTTTGCTGGTAATTTTCACTGCCTCATTTCGGTCTGTACTTGATTGCCAAGATTTAAATAAACCAAAATCCAGCTGCTTTCAAATGCAGCCCCATCACTCTCTTTCTTGTAGTTTGTACTGTGAACTGAGGAATTTCGAGTACAATGTCCTTTAGAGAAAGACTTCTTCACTTTATTCTAACTCATACTTGTGTCACTTAGTGGCATGAATGAAAGCAGCTGTTCCTTGTCATGTAAAAGCACATTAATACCTAATAAGAAAGTGCCTTTTGGTAATGGGACTCTGTCTCTGCCATTTGACCCTCTGGATTTCTCTGTGATGGGCTGAATGAGGCAGACTGCCTATCAGAAAGGATTTCTTGAGTATCTTGTCAGAAATTTCTCTTCATTCTTTCTCATCCAAAGTAAGTCACCTACTAGCTGTTCCGGGACTATTCTCATTGGCTTTCTGGGAGGAACTCACTAGACAGGGAGTGTCAAAACTGAGATCCATGTTCAGAACTCTTCAGCTTCCTCAGACTCTGGTGGCTCTATCAGCTCTTCCTTCCGAGCTCTTTGCTTGGGCCCCTCTTTCCTGTTCCTCTGGCCCCAATACAGATGTCATCCCCTCCGGAGGCCTTCCCTTACCCCATTTTGGCAGCCTCCTCCAGTTCCTCTCTCTCCCATCCCTCTCAATTTCTTTCACAGCTCTTTCAAGTTTGTCCTTTTCTTCTTAGTTTTTCTTTGTTGTCTGTCTTTGCTGAAAGAATATATACTCTATGAAGTCAGGGAGCTTGTATCTTTTTCACTGCCAACCTCAATTCTTAAAGTAATACTTGGTTTATGGTAGACATGGAGCCGGGTGTGGTGGTTCACATCTGTAATCCTAGCACTTTGGGAGGCCAAGACAGGAGGATGGCTTGAGCCCAGAAGTTCGAGACTAGCCTGGGCAACATAGAGAGGCCTTGTCTCTACAAAAAAGTTAAAAAATTGGACAGATGTGGTGGCATATGCCTGTGGTCCCAGCTAATTAGGAGGCTGAGGTGGGAGGATCGCTTGAGCCTGGGAGGTCAAGGCTGTAGTGAGTCATGATCATGCCACATATTCCTGCCTGGGTGACAGAGCAAGACCCTGTCTCAAGAAAAAAAAAATCTTGTGGCCAAGTAAAATAATAGATTTAATTCAATCTAACATATCACAGTCCCACACTCCAAATGTTTACAATAGGGCTCTGGCAATGTACATCTGTGAGGTGCTGAGGAAGAGAGTGGGGCCCTAACCTAGGGAAGACATAGATATTTTTCACTGAATGGGATGATAGAACATCATCATACTATATTTCACATTTCTTTTTGAGATAAAATTTATATATAATAAAATGCATAAATCTTCAATGAATTTTGAGAATTACACATACCTGTGTGGTCTAAACCTCTCTCAAGATCGAGAACGTGGCCGGGCGCAGTGGCTCATGCCTGTAATCCCAGCACTTGGGGAGGCCGAGGCGGGCGGATCACAAGGTCAAGAGATCAAGACCATCCTGGCCAACATGGTGAAACCCTGTCTCTACTAAAAGGGAGTGGTGTTGCGCACCTGTAGTCTCAGCTACTCGGGAGGCTGAGGCAGGAGAATTACTTGAACCCAGGAGGCAGAGATTGCAGTGAGCCGAGATTGTGCCACTGCACTCCAGCCTGATGCATGGTGACAGAACAAGACTCTGTCTCAAAAAAAGAAAAAAAAAAAAAAAGATCTAGAATATGACAACCAACCGGAAAATATCCTCCTGCTTCTCCCAGTCAGGCCCCATTCTCCAGATGGAAGCACTTCTGATTTTTTTCATCATTTAATATTGTCCATTCTAGAACTTCATGTAATTGGAATCATGCAGTATGTAGCCTTTGGAATGCTCCACTCACTCAGCAAAATGTTTTTAGTAGATTCACTGTGTTGCATGTATCTGTTTCGTTTCATGGCTGAGTAGCATTCCATTGAATAGACTCTATCACAGCTTGGTTATTCATTCTCCTATCGATAGACTTCTGGGCTGCTTCCAGTTTTTGGCTATTGTGAATAAAGCTGCAATTAACATTCTTAAACAAGTCCTTTTATGAACATGTGTTTTCATTTCTCTTGGGTAAATGCATAGGAATGAGATTGCTGAATCAAATGGTATGCTCCATTTTATAAGGAACTACCAGAACTTTTCCCAAAGTGGCGGTACTATTTTGCATTCCTGCCAATGATGTATGAGGATTCCAATTGCTCCACATCCTCACCAGCATTTTGTGATGTTTTTGTTTGTTGGTTGGTTGGATTTTTACAATTTTAGCCATTCTGGTGGATGCGTGATGGTGCCATTTCATTACAGATTTTTTTTTTTCAGACGGAGCCTCAATTTGTTGCCCAGGCTGGAGTGCAGTGGCATGATGTTGACTCACTGCAACCTCTGCCTCCTGTGTTCAAGTGATTCTCCTGCCTCAGCCTCCTGAGTAGCTGGGATTACAGGTGCATGCCACCATGCCCAGCTAATTTTTGTATTTTTAGTAGACACAGGGTTTCACCATGTTGGCCAGGATGTTCTCGAACTCCTGACCTCAAGCGATCCACTCGCCATGGCCTCCCAAGTGCTGAGATTACAGGCGTGAGCCACCGTGTTCAGCCTCATTACAGTTTTAAGTGGGAATTTGTTGATATTGAATCATGTTGAAACATTTTTCTTGTGATTTTTGGCATACTTGTTTTTCTTCCTAGGTGAATTCTCTCTATATTCTGAATACAAGCATTTTGTCAGATATATGTTTTGTGAATATTTTGTCTTCATACAACAGCTTAAGGAGACTGCTGTTGTATTTTGTACTTTTCCTTTTTTTTTCTCCCCCCTACAGTTTTTGCTACTTGTCTGGGTCTGGGGTACATATATAGCCGTCACTTATACTTCTGGGGATATTCAGAAGCTGCTAAAAAAAGGTAAGGAGAACCCCATAATTGTGTATTTTTGCAAAAAGTAGCAGGATAAGGTCTGGGTCAGTTTCTTCTCCTGAGATATATTAACAGCACTGAGAGTTGGGTGGCAAAAGTAACCCATGCTGCCTGAGGCCAAGTCTTGCCAGACCATGCACATTTAGGCATAAGATGGGAAAATGCAAGTATAAAACTGGGCAATGAATGTGCACTCTAGATCCTTGCAAAAATTTTGCATAATATCCAGAAAGTTACCGAGGAAGTCATCCTGCCTGGCCATGATGATGCTTTGAATGTTCAAAGAAACCAAGTGATCCCCATGGCTAGGCATTCTCTTTAATTTATGTGATGAGCCAGAATTTTCAAATTGCAAAAATATAGAAGTTCTGGGCAGAGTCAACGATAGGGCAGCCTATTTCAGGGCTCTCAGCTTCCTCATTACAGCCCAGTTTGTCACTTTTCTCCCTTATGTCCATCCTGCAGGATCACTGGTTTCCGATCGAGTTTGGGGATTTTGGCCTTGTTGACCTTCCTAGGTGCCCTGGGAATTGCAAACAGCTTTCTAGATGAATATCTGGACCTCAATATTGCCAAGAAACTGAGGCGGCACTTCTAACTTTTTCTCTTCCCTTTAATGCTTGCAGAAGCTGTTCCCACCCTGAAGGCAATGTGATGTCATTTGTTAAATACAAATAAATAAAGCCTTTATTCTGTTTTTCTTGAAATGGCTTTGTAGAAACATACCCTTTAGATAATACGTCTCCTGTTTGTTTATGAATTGAAATTTGCTTGGGGTAGGTACATCCATATCATCAGTGGAAGTGTGTTGTGCGCTAGTTTTAGAAATGCAGCTGAAGTCATGATCTGTTGTGTGGGAACAGAGCAACCTGGCCCGTGTGCTGTCCTTTCTGAGGACTGCTGACATAGGCTGCCACTCTGACTGCTTCTCTCTCTCTCTCTCTTCCTTTTTTATTTGAGACGGAGTTTTGCTTCTGTTGCCCAGGTTGGAGTGCAGTGGTGCGATCTTAGCTCACTGCAACCTCAGCCTCCCGGATTCAAGCGATTCTCCTGCCTCAGCCTCCCAAGTAGCCGGGACTACAGGCATGCGCCACCACACCCGGCTAATTTTGGATTTTTAGTAGAGATGAGGTTTCTCCGTGTTGGTCAGGCTGGTCTTGAACTCCTGACCTCAAGTGATCCACTTGCCTCAGCCTCCCAAAGTGCTGGGATTACAGGTATGAGCCACTACGCCCAGCCTATGACTGCTTCTCTCTTAATGGAAAGTTTCAGACAGACACTGATGAGGCAGCTGAGCCCCTTTGTTGGTTATAGGAAAGCAACAGATAGGAAGGCACGTGGGGGAAGTCAGGCAATCACATAGAGTAGCCAGAGAAGGGAGTTATCAACTGATAGCACAAATCAAAACAGGTTATAAAAATGTACTTTATAAAGAAAAAAGTGTTTCCAAGCCAAAGAGCTTGCTGTCTGATGCGCATACTGTAACACCAGGTTTTTGAGAAAAGACAAGCTTTATTTTTAAAAAAGAGATGGTCTAGCTCCGGTCTTGTTTCATCCAGGCTGGAACCTCCAACACATGGCTCAAGTGAGCCTCTTCCTTCAGCCTCCCAAAGTGCTGGGATTCAGGTGTGAGCCTCTCTGCCTGGCCAAGAAAAGCTTTATATTGCAAGTCAGCTCACAAGGAGTTAGGAGTCAAGCTCAAATCTGTCTCCCTCTGTTGGCTTCCAAGCAGTATTTTTATTAGAAAATGTCAGGGGTAAATTCTGAGATTAGTAGGTAATCGGTGGAAAGAAAGGGGAGATCTGGAAAGTCCTTGGGCATGTACAGTTATCTCTTCATGCTGCGTCAGGGGTAGCATGTGCAAATTCCAGGGGAGCTAGTATGAAATGTGGTAGAAATTCAGGCTACGACATCAGCAAGCTTGTTCTGTGCAGACTCCAGTCAGCCATCTTGGTTCCAACATATTTCAGCCAGTTTTTTTTTACTCTCATAAGCAGAGAGAGTTTCAGTGTTTCAGCAAGTTATTTCTTTTCTTATCTGCCATCCTCCAAACTCAAGAATTTCCTTTAGTTATTTGTCTCTTTAACTTGTTGGGGTACAATTTCAAGAGGAAAAAGAAAAAAAGTATATCATTTCAAGGAATTGCCTAGGGACCAGTGTGAAGGGAATATTTCTTCTCTTGGTTGAGGAAGGTGGATCATGCTCACAGCTGTAGAACCTGGGTTGGGTTCTGCTACACACCTGTGTCGTGTGGGGTTTGGAGGGTGATATGAGAAGTACAGTGGAACCCCCAAAATTATTCTGACCCTGATGTGTAGTCATTGTCTGACACAATGCAGATGACTTTTCTTCATTTTCTTTGTTGTAAAATGAGAATGATTCTATCTCACAGCTTTCTAGGAAAAGGTAAAATGAAGTATGAGCATACATAACACATTTTGACATCAGGAAAAGGGCCCTCTGTCAATTTTTCCCCAAAAAATTAAACAGCCTTGGGAGTCTGGTGTGGGCATCTTCAAAAGTTGTTTATTAGTACTTTTCTTTTTTTGTGGGTACAATAGAAGTTGCAAAGGCCAGGAATAATATTAATAGAAGAAATAAAGACATTTAAATACTAGTGTTTCCATAATGTATAACCTCCTGCATTCCAAATAGCAGTGCAGTATTAAATACCCGAAAGCACACTGAGAATATACTAGCCTAGGAGTGGGCACATTTGCATACTAGTTCAGGTTGCCCCAGTAATTGGCCATTTAAATTTGGACAAGGCACTCCATCAGTAGGAGGTCATGAAGCAAAGAAGTAAAGACTCCAGAATCAGACTCGCCTGTCCTATCCTATCCTATCCTATCCTATCCTATCCTATCCTATCCTATCCTATCCTATTGCTTGCTGGCTGTGCTACCCCAGCACTTTGTAGTACTCTGCCTTGGTTTTCTTTTAGGTAAAATGGGGCAAGTATGCTAAAAAGCTTTGATTCTATGGTCTTTTTACTTAATATTCTGATCAATTATGATCATGACTTGGATTGTGACATTTTAATTGTTTTATACATTGAGATCAGTGAAGGATGAGAAGGCAAATTTTTGATACTAAGGCATAATTACTTCATAACCATGTCCTTTGCAAGTTGAAAATAAACTTTCCAGATCTTACAATTAAATATTTGTTTGTTTGTTTGTTTTGCTCTGTCGCCAGGCTGGAAAGCAGCCTGGCGATTCAAGTGATTCTCCTGCCTCAGCTTCCCGAGTAGCTGGTACTACAGGTATGTGCCACCATGGCCAGCTAATTTTTGTATTTTTAGTAGAGACGTGGTTTTACCATGTTGGCCAGGATAGTCTCAATCTCTTGCCCTCGTGATCCACCTGCCTTGCTTCCTAAAGTGCTGGGATTACAGGCTTGTGCCGCCACGCCCAGCCCAAAGATTTTTTTTTTTTTTTTTTTTTTTAGACGGAGTTTCGCTCTTGTTACCCAGGCTGGAGTGCAATGGCACGATCTCGGCTCACTGCAACCTCTGCCTCCTGGGTTCAGGCAATTCTCCTGCCTCAGCCTCCTGAGTAGCTGGGATTATAGGCACGCGCCACCATGCCCAGCTAATTTTTTGTATTATTAGTAGAGATGGGGTTTCACCATGTTGACCAGGATGGTCTCGATCTCTTGACCTCGTGATCCACCCCCCTTGGCCTCCCAAAGTGCTGGGATTACAGGCGTGAGCCACTGCGCCCGGCCCACCCCAAAGATTTTTAAACAATTTGTTTTGCACTTAAATTGGTTCTGAGCAGGGTAACACACAGACACACACACACACACACACACACACACACACACAGACACACACACACACACACACACACACACACACACACTTTGGTTAAACACATGAAAATAGGCAGTGGGTGTAGCAGACTATGAAAGCCTTGTCAATTTAAACGTTCAAAAGATAGATTTTCTTTTGTTCTAATTGCCATTTCTGACATTTCCCCCCTTTCTTTTACAAGAGAACCATTAATCCTAAGGGTTGCAGAGGGACAAAGATCCATCTTCTGTAACTTCTTCAGGCTGAATAAGGGTGATGATATTCCTGCCTAACTATGAGGGTCTATTGCATTCAGGGTATAGAGGAGCTTAGTCAGAAAGCATCAGTATGGTGAGGGTCATTCATGACGCTTAAGTTTTGACAAGAGGTGATATCTGGAAGATTAATAAGTGTTTAGTTTAAGAAAACATTCAGTAAGCTTGTTCCGTATTCCTACACGAAGAGTATAACAGCAATATTGTCTGCAAGAGTAAAGCAAAATAAGTTATTCCAAGTAAACTAAATTAGAAGACTTTCCATGAACTGTGCAACTGTTGAAACCAAGCTGATATGGGGTCCATAGCTGATTGCAATGTCCTCAGAATTAGAATCCTGATCCAGACTTTTACATTACCCATCCCTCTTGTTTCTTCTGAGCAGCAGTGAGAGATCACTGGTTGGTTCACAGGAATAAACAGGATTAGCCTAACTTGCAGAAACAAACTTGAAAACAACTAGTGAGCCTAAAATTTAATAATAAGTATACCATAGTTCTTGAAACATACTATTTCTCTCTCTAGTTTCCCATTTTTACTAAAGACAAATTATGGTAAGACTGATTTGCTTTATTATACTTGGCCTAATTATTTGTATAAAGTGCAGCAAGAATAATTATTTTTCACATAGGCATTTTAATTAGCTTTTTGGGAACTCTGTTTCATAAGAAATCTCAGATAAGACTTTTCTTAAAGCTGAGCCCTGTCATGGGTTTGTACCCTCAAATACCTATAAGTTGGGAAAATTCCTCTCCTTTTGAGGTCCCAAGATAAGTTGGGTCTCCTGGACCTGTGAGAAAGTGACATTCTTTACTTACCATAGGTCAGAAACCCTGTTCAAGGACTGTGTAGGCAAGGTATGAGGCCAGTTCCCCACAGGGCTTTTATTGGCTCTATAAGTCAAGTTTGATTCCTTAAAGGAAAGCACACCATTCCAGTCAAAGCCTTGGTAAAATAACCAGTTTCTCCAATTGTGTCCTGTTACAAATGAAAACAGATTTGTTTTGCACTTATGCAAATAACTATATTGCCATAAATTAAGAATATTCATAATTAATTTCCAAATTCTGGAGAAATCAAGTAGAGGGAAATATGTTCCAAATTTTGTTCACAGCAGTATACTTGACTCAATTGCTACAAGCTGTAAACAGCTCAAAAGAAAAGTTTCACTGACTCTGAAAAACAAAGGATCAGCCATGTTTTATGCAAAGTTAAAAAGATTACTTCAGTTTTCTGTTTGTTTAGTTAATTCAGCTAACTCCTGTTCTACTTGATATTCATGAACATTCCAGCTCTTCATGAGAGTTCTGAAAGTTGTTTCCTCTATTCTAATGTTACAATTTCCAAAGTTATTAGAAACTTGCATTTAGGAACACCTGCTAGAGTTCTATAATTGATTATAAATCACCTTCTAGAGAGGATTAAAACAAGACAACAATTGCCTGTGGATGACAAAAACTTTTAGGACAGCCACTATTAAAGCCACAATTGATAAGCAAATTTGGCTACTTCTGTGACACACAAGATTTTACATAACAATTATAATTATTAATAACATACACTAAGTCATATTAGAATTATAGGAGTTTCCCATAACTTTGGAAGATATACCAATAACACATTTATACAAATATAG